TATTCAAACTTAACTGTGCTGTAAGTTTCTTGATGTACAAAGAAAATACATACCCCAAACAAATGTTGTATTGTGGAAAAAGGTGGATCCACAATGTATTGTCCAGTAGGTTAGACTACTGCAATGGTCTGCTCACTGGGATCACCAAACAAGTTGTAAAACAACTGCAGTATGTCCATAATGCTGCAGCTCAAGTCCTGACTAGAACCAGGAAGTACGACCACATTAGTCCAGTCCTCAGGTCTCTGCACTGGCTTCCTGTGGCTCAGAGAATAGACTTTAAAACAGCTCTGCTTGTGTACAAGTCTCTCCATGGCCTCGCACCAAAGTACATCTGTGACATGTTGGTCCCATATGAACCAACTCAAGGTCTGGGGAGCACAGGGACTGGACTTCTGCAGGTGCCCAGGGTCAGGACTAGATATGGGGAGGGGCAGAGTTTCAGATTTATGCAGCTAAAATCTGGACCAGTCTTTCTGAAAATAAGAGACAGGCGTCTACTCTGGCAGGTTTCAAATTCAGGTTGAAGACAGTTCTGTTTTCCTGTGCTTACAACTGAGGGATTTTATGTTTACTCTTTTTAATGCACTGTGTTTTATTTATGATTCTAATCCCATGTTTGATTTTTTATGTTTGAATATTTTTAATTCCCTGATTTAACTTTTATGTTCTTAATACCCCTGTGATCTTAATGTTTGTTTTTAATGATGTAATAATGTTGCTTTCACTTCACTCCTGTTTGCCACTTTTGGATTGGGCTGAAATTACTCAAATGTCCCCACTGTAAAGGATCTCATCATTAAATACTATAAAATACCACAAACAATTATCAGTGGGTATGAATACTTTTCCAATGCACATTATTAGCTAACTGTACACTGATTGTGTTGGCCCTCAGTGCAGTCTTTAGCATTCAGATACATCTCCAGTAGAAGTCGTTACAGTTCACTGAGCTGGTGTGACGCTGTCCGTAGAACAACAGGAGGTGGTCCCCGGGGCCACAGATTGATTGTCAGCTCAGAGTGTACCTGTGCTGCCTACAAACTACACACTGCACAGTAGTTGAGCCATTGACCTTTGAATGGTAATTTAGACTCCATGCCATGAGTGATCAGCTTCTACAGAAATGCATTATGGGACATTTGGTGCGTACAATGAAAACCAAAAGTTTTTCATACACCGTGTTAAAACTGATGAGAAATAAGTAATCTTTATACCGCCTTTCACAGACCAGAGTCACAAAGCGGTTTACAATTGTTGTTGGGCACTTGTCCTCTCACTCCACACAGAGATGGGAGCGGGGTCGCCAGCACAGGAGGCACATGTCAGACCTATTGTGCATGTTTTTAGTGGTAGGGGAAACCGGAGCACCTGGAGGAAACCTATGCAGACATGGGGAGAACATGCAAACACCACTCAGAAAGACCCTGTTCTGACAAGGAATCAAACCCAGGACCTTCTTACTGAGAAGCGAGTGTGCTATCCCCTCAGCCACCGTGCCGCCCTCTCTCAACACTATGGCATTGACCGATAAGAAATCATTTAATTTCTTATCGCTCATAATGTAATCTTAATGTTATCTTATTTCTTATCGCTCATATCCTTATTTCTACGATAACAGACTGCCTTCCACTGTACATCAAACGTTCTTTCTTCCACATCCACTTTACTGGACTTATAATAATTACATTTTTATACAACTTTTATTTAACAAATTTTATACCTGGCCTTGAGCAGAAGCTAACAATGTCCCCACACTGTGACCGATACAGGTATGAGCTACTAATGTGTGCCGTATTCAATGCTAGTTTTGAGTTTCGCTAATGTAACCGCTGCTTTACCCGTCTTCTCCTTAATTACTCAGCCGTTTTACTCTAACCTTTCTTCACTCATTTATTTGTTGCCCTTCAGTTGACCTTCAATAATTACAGAAATAATTAGTGTGTAACTCTTGCCTCATTATCTTTGTGGGGTCTTTACTGCTTCTCTGGGCTCCTCTGTTAATTGCTCTTAAAACCTTTCGCCTCAAGAAAGTGAATAATTTAAGACAGCACTAAATTGTTTAACTGCCTGATTTCTCTGCTTGGATCAGATCCTGGTACAGTCGTGGATAAATTACAATGTTTTAGCATCGGTTTATCAGTTTTAAGAGACACTAATGTACGCCTTAGAAGATTGAAGGAGTTAAGAGCTCTGGGTTTTTGCATAGACACCAAACCAAAGAAACATTGTAAGAAGTAACGCTTATATATATAGCGCATTTTACAGACCAAGGTCACACAAATGGCTTTACGTTGAAATTCAGATACTTTTTCAATCTCTCCGAACACACTGGTGCATCAAAGCCCCAAAACCAACACTATCCATTCACTTTCTCATTACATTCATACCTATTGGACATTTTTAGGGGTAGGGAAACCGAAGCACCCGGAGGAAACCTACAGTATGCAGACACAGGGAGAACATGCAAACTCCAGACAGAAAGGCCTGGAGGTGGAATTTAACCCAGCACCTTCTTGCTACTAAACACAAGCTCTAACTTATCCATCACTAAACTTTGGATTATCCAGTTGTGTGAATATTAAAGCTGGGGTACCTTTTTTCATCATAAATTACACCTTTTGTTTGTCCCGATAGAAATCCTGATTGTCAAACCTGCCTTTCAACATTGTATATTTTGTTATTTTGTTAATAAAGAGCCCTGAGAGTCACTCTTATACAGTAGTTGCTTCGGGCTGAGTTATGATTGGCTGAGTGAGAGAGTCTTTATTTATCTCTACTGTCGGAAAAATCTGATCTATAGAAAAAACTAGCGATAAATTGTTTTTAGATGGATGTTATTATTCTGTTTATTTTTGGTTTGAAAGTAAGGTACTCCAACTATATTTGTCCCACAGTGGGGAAATGTCAGTGTTGCATCACAAGTTACAGAACAGTGGGAAAGAGGAGCACACAGCAGAGGATAAATGAATAATAAATCTATACTAAAATAAAATTTAATCTCAAACTCTAGAATGAATTGAAGCAGTAAAAGATATCCATCTTTTGCATAATTAGGAAAGAAGTCTAAAATCTTCAACTTAGCATAATTATAAACAAGACTTGAGAACAAAGACCCCTGACTTTAGCATAAAGTCCTGCTCCACCCAGAGGCTACTCCACCTCTGCTGCTGTGACCCGTCCTGCTCCACCCAGAGGCTACTCCACATCTGCTGCTGTGACCCGTCCTGCTCCACCCAGAGGCTACTCCACATCTGCTGCTGTGACCCGTCCTGCTCCACCCAGAGGCTACTCCACCTCTGATGCTGTGACCCGTTCTGCTCCACCCAGAGGCTACTCCACCTCTGATGCTGTGACCCGTTCTGCTCCACCCAGAGGCTACTCCACATCTGCTGCTGTGACCCATCCTACTCCACCCAGAGGCTACTCCACCTCTGCTGCTGTGACCCATCCTACTCCACCCAGAGGCTACTCCATCTCTACTGCTGTGACCCATCCTACTCCACCCAGCGGCTACTCCACCTCTGCTGCTGTGAAACGTACTGCTCCACCCAGAGGCTACTCCACCTCTGCTGCTGTGACCTGAAGGGCTGTTGCTGGCTGTAGCTTTTTAAAATTATCTTCTTCTTTTTTTGTGCTGCTACTTGACACCTACGGGGATCAATAAAGTATCTATCTATAGAAAAGTGTATATTCTAGTGCAAGTAATCTATAGTGTGTATACATCTGCACATGTTAGCAGCATGAGGGTCTGGGACACAGTGACTCAGTAAAGTATGATGGACATTGTAAGTTAGATGAGTGTTATAAACTCCATCTCTACAGTGTGTTATTGGGGTATTCTCTGCTGGTGTGAGAGCAGAGTGCTGTATATGATTGGAGCCAAAAGAATCTTGTTGACCTTGGAGAACTACCTTCTGGCATCAGATCTGCTTCCTGCATTGATTTGGATTTCCATGGCTGGGTTATTTGGGTTTGTGCCCTCAGGTCCCACAGAGGCCGGGACCAAGGTCAGCGGAGGAGACCAGGAACCCGCCTCTGTCATAAAGTAGCGTATCTTCCTCTACGTCTCAACTGTCTTCTACATGTCTCCAGTCTTTTTGACGTCCAAATTATCTGTTGAGAAGTTGGTTACACGATAGAACAGGAGAAGTGTGTCTGAATACGCAAGAGGACGATGGATTTGTTGTGTTTGTTCAGATGCTCATGAATAATTCTGTTGGAGGGTCTTTGATTCGTTAAATGTTAAATAAACAGATGCATCGTTCCAGTCAACAGCTTTTGCCTCAATCAAAAAGAACAATTCCATTTGACTAATCGACCATACCAGAAAGTTCAATTAATCAACCAATCAATCTTCAAACATAGATGTAACTCAAAGGGCTTTAAAGATGATCAAATCAGTGATCCAACAACTCCGATAACAGCACCAGTCATGCACACACACACACACACACACACACACACACACACGCAAGTCTACATTTTAGTCCTTTCTTCTGGCAAACATCATGCTTTTTAAACAACAATGATGACCACCTCTTCAAAACACATTTATGACAAAAAAATAGATAGAGTTGAAATGCAGAGATTGGCCAAGAAATTAGTTAGCGCTAAACTAAAGCAAGAACTTTGACACTTTTGACACTTACCATCAGCAAAGTTTCATCTTCCCTCTGGCACAATTCCAATAAAATATGGGATGTATTTCACGTTATTTCACTGTATTAAAATTCTGTCGGATGAGAAAGAGCTTTAGCAATTCAGCCGCACATTGGCAAACGTAGAAAAGTGATGAACAAGGGGCCTATGATCAGTGCACGCAGCAGTCTGACAGTTCTGTGTCTGTGGATCAATGTGTATCTCTTGTATCCAATCAGATCCTCCCCGTGATGAAGCGTGACCCTCCCCTCATCGCTCACATGGACTTGTCATAGCTCCAGATAAATGCCACATGGATGGACAGTGAGGATGCTGACCTCCCACTGACCCATTTAAACATGGACCAACATCTCCTCCAGTATGAAGGCCTGCTGCCAGACGCCCCAACCCCCATCGCAGTGAGCTGTGTCCAGACCAGGCTAACCTCCTTCTTCCCTCTGAACAGTAGCCGCCTGGAGCCTGCCGGACAGGGCTAAGAAAAGATCAGAGAACATAGTGCACCAACAAGCATGGGCTGACAGGAAAATACTTTACAAGCCCCAGAGCCTGCAGCGCATAGAAGGCTATAGAAGAAGTCATGTGCATCCTCTCACAGAAGTCAAAATAATAATGCGTCGGTTTTATATTCTCAACACAACATTCAACTACATTTATGGACATCGGTCATCTGCCCCTTATGGACCTCTATGTGTTTTTATTGTTGCATTTCTTGATGACTGTGACTGTTGAGTCTCTGATCTGTGTTGGCAAATTCAAAGGTTTTGTCAAGTCCTTCGAGATAACAACTGTTGTGATTTAGGTCTGTACAAGAATACATTGAATATAGCGCTTATCAGGAGACACATCACATGTCATTATTCTTTCATTCACAACTACTGTAGCCACAGCTGCCCTGGGGCACACTGACAGAAGCAAGGCAACCAGTTTGTGCCATCGGCCCCTCGACCACCACCAACCATTCACACAAGCACCAGACTAATTCTAGGCAAGTGTATTGCCTGAGGACAAAACAACAGTTTGATACTTTACACCCGCAGCCGCCCCACTGTGGCACCAGTATCGGCAAAATATTTTTTGTCACATGAATAATTCTGTTGGAGGGTCAACCATATGGATACTTGTATGCATGGAGATGTTTTTAAGCTTTAACCATTTTTCTCGTGTTTTTCAATTCAATTTATTCTTGTATAGCCCTAAATCATAGCCGTAGTGTGGTTATGTAGTTAATGGTTTTCTCAGAGGACTATACAAAACCATGGAATTTGCCAACACAGATCAGAGAATCCACAGTTCAACACAAGAAATGTGATGATCAGAAACACATAGAGCCATTGGCCCTTAAGGGGCAGATGACCCATGTCCATAAATGATGATGAATGTCCATAAATGTTGCGTGTCCTGGATCATTACCGCTGTCCTTTTAGTTAGACCCTCTAACAGTCTAACAGACCCACTTGCATCTGCAAGGAAAAACTCTAAAACCCAGAGGGGAAAAACATGTTCAATTAAGTTTTCATTGCTACAGATTTATGTCACCTGATCCCACTGACTCCTGCTGTCGTTGTGTCCATGGGCAAGACACTCCACTTTGCCTGAAGCCTCTGCTGAAAGACAGAGGCCTGTCTTTGTCAACAGAGCAGCCATTTTCCCATGGACCCACCACCTGCAGGAGGATCAGTGAGGGGCTGGTGCTTTCACCCGAAATGAATGAAGGAATGAATGCTTCAAATTTGTGAGATGTAAGTAAGTAAGTAATCTTTATTAAATTATATACCGCCTTTCACAGACCAGAGTCACAAAGCGGTTTACAATTGTTATTTTTGGGCATTTGTCCTCTCACTCCACACAGAGACGGGAGCGGGGGTTAGATGTAGATCTAACTTGTAAAATGGCATGGAGTTAATGAAGTTGAATGCCTTCCATATTACTTTGTGAATGATCTTGTTTTTACATCCTTAAACATGTCATCCTTTGTTGTCCCAACACTTCCTTCAATCCGGTGCTTTCTATTGTAGTTGTATTGAGCCTTTGTGGCATGTAACATGTTGATGGGAGCGAGGGGCAGATGGCGAGTGAGGTTAAAATGGTACACTGCTGAGCACAGCAAAAAGCTAATGCTGATGTTCATTAAATAACCAGGACCTATCTCTCAGCGGGGACATGATGCCGCTTTGCTTTCCTCTCTTCCTCTCACCTCGGACAGTAAGGGACAGGACAAAGATGGTGAATGGAGCTCTCCAGTGACAGATGCTGCTTGTTGAAGCCTCCTCTGAATGTGAGAAAAAACACAATATTGTGTACCTCATACTGTAAGCTGAGAATAACTCAACTCAATACAGGGACATGGTGTATGCTGCAATGATATGCTGCCCTCTAGTGGGCAACATGCCGCTATTACAACCCTTATTTATAAAGAACTAATGCACTATTATATGATTCCCAAAGTGGGGACCGGGCATGGATCTATAGGGACTGGTACATTTGGGAGCCACAGAGCCATTGCAGGAGGGGCCACTAACAAGCAATTGAGAATGATCACATTTATAAATCATTTGGTTAGAATTACATTATAAATGCTGACTGCTACGATCATTTATATCTGTGTATACCATGAAGTTAGTAAGTCATGTTTAGTTATAAAGCACATTTCACAGACCAGGGGGCTAACAATTACCTCATTACATTCACTTCTACTGTACATGTATTTAGTGAACCCAGAGCACACGGAGGAAATAGACTGTATATAGGAAACCGGAGCAGACGGAGGAAACCACAGGGAGAACATGCAAACTGCACATAAAAAGACCACGTCTAGGTCAGAAATCAGGTCCTTCTTGGAGGGAAGAAACAAGTGCTAACACTGTGCCACCGTGCACTCCTTCCTGCTCTTTCCTGGTCCTTATCATTGACCATCTGCTGAGCTCTACCTTTAGGAGCAGTGAGGAAAGGAGCTCCTAAACAGAGGCGGACACAGCAGCTGCTTTGATACAAAAACTACATCACCCATAAACAGAACATAAATGAGTGCACAGCGCCCTCCTCTGGTCAGATGTATCACGATACCCACCTTCATGCTGCCCTTCCACAATAATAACTTAATAATAATAATAATAATAATTAATAATACTTCATTCTACTTATATGGTGCTTTTGATGACATTTTTAAACTTTTTTAAAACTATTACTGTAGCCACAGCTGCCCAGGGGCAGATTAGCGCAAGTGAAGCAAAGAGTTTGTACAATCATCTACTTTGACCAACATCATTATCAATGAACAAACCAGATAGGGAATCTGTATCATGTGTCTTTTCTAAAGATACAGTGGCATTTCTCTGCCGCTCACTGTGGCACCTGTGTCCAGAACAGAGGTCTCCCATCCCAGTACTAAGCTGAGCTTCTAAATGACAGGATCAGACTGTCACACAATACAATAATATAAATTCATTGTAGTGGCTAGTGCAGTCTGCCGTGATGTAGGCAAGTTTTGATCGGGGTTTCATAAATAACTCACCAGCAGGTGGCACTAATTGCCGGATAGAGTAAGAAATCTATCTTATTTTTATTAGAAATATAGTTTATGTATTATTTTTACAAATGTATTGTATTGCATTCTGATACCTCATGGTGAGTTTAAATTCATTCCTGTTATGATGCAAGTCTTAAATTTTTTGAATTGCATTGTTTATTGTGTATGTACCTAATGTTTTCACTTTCATCAGGTAAACAGCAGAGGGAGACATTGCACTGTCCTACAGACTACCACCACCTCTAGTACTACCACTGATGACCTCAGTCCTGGAAACAGAGCAAAGATCAGACCTGCAGGTTACAGCGGTCTATATTTCTGTGTGAGGTGCATCACACGTTACTGGGTTTTTATTTCACAAATGAGACCAATACATGTACTTTTCATCTGAGAATTGTTTTTGAAACTTTTTCATTGCCCATTAAATGAGTACTATTTTGAATGCATTAGAATCAGAATCAGAATCATTTTTATTGCCACGTAAGTAACAGGAAGTCACAGACTTGGAAATTGCTTTGGCTCAGTGCAACAGTCAGAAAGAGATAATAAAAATAAGAATAAAAAAAACTTCTAAAGAATAAATTTAAGTTACAGTTACTATTTACAATATACAAGTGCACATGGTGCACACAATGTAAGGTGACAGCAGTACAGTGAAGTAAAGTGACTTTATTAAGAAACTGGCCTAGTTAAAACACATTCACCTTCCATACAAAGAAAGTGTCTGAATGTCAGTTCAGAAAAATGAAATAATTGAAAGAACATGTAAACAGCAATAATGATGCTGCTAAGTGACATTTGTGATTTTCCAAAATCTCTCAAACACAATTCAAATGCAGATGTGATGCAGATGTGATTGAAAATGCCTTAACAGGATGTGACGCTGGTGCTGAAGCGCGTGCACGCTGAGCGGGGGATAGGCGCGCACGAGTGTCGTGAGGAGGAGGCTGGGAGGGCATCCCGGTCACAGGTGACTGTCATGTTTAATAATGATTATCACCACGCACCTGCGCCCCCGCACTAATTAACTGCACGCATATGCAAATGAGGCCTGGGACTGGCAAAAAAACACAGAGGAGAGGAGGAAAGCGGAGCTGGAGTGGCAGAGCACGGTGGTTGAGCTGCTGGGTTTGATTAGGGTAATGAACGGTCAGAGAGGGAAGGAGACAGAGGCAAGAGGAGCCATGAAGGAGGAGGACGAGGCGAGGATGCAAAGAAGGAGACATGTCAGTGTGGACCGTAATGAGAACAGGTGGACGAGTGGCCTAAAGAGAGGGGAGAGAACAGGAGGGGCTTATTACAGAGACTGACTCCAAGTTTGACAGAGGCACATCCAGGGCCACAGCCGCACTCAGAGCTACACAACACTTTCTGCTTTTGTTTGAATCCATACAATATTTACTGTCTATGGTCTACCTCATTATATGTGTTTTTGTGATTATCATAGAATAATGACATCACTATTAAATTTGCGGATGACTAGAAATGGCACGACACCAACTGCATGTATTTGAAGAGTATCTCCATTGAGAATACAAAGATCAGATGGGGCGACAGTGGCTCAGTTGGTAGAGCATTGGCCTTAGAGCCTGTAGGTCGTGGGTTTGCGCCCACCATTAGACCTACTTCACGACTGTATCACTGACTGCTGTTGTTGTGTCCTTGCGCAAGACACTTAACCCCTACTTTGCCTGAGCCCCCTGCTGAAGAAACAAGGCTCCTGTGGACTCACCACCTGCAGGAGGATCAGTGAGGGGCTGGTGCTCTGAGAACTGGGTTTAGTTTAGTTTATTGTTTATAAAACGGGGACAATGTACAAAAACCATTAGTCTTTACAAAAGAAGAGATGGTTTGCACCAGATTAAGCTGCAGCTACTTTCCATCTGTAGTCCCTGGTGAACACACAGACACACACATCACAAATATAAAAGCAAACTTACCTCACACAGAAATAAAATCGTATATACATTACATGTTTTCCTAAAATAAATACAATTTCTAATGCTCTTAATGTTCATAAATGTTGACACGACTATCTAAAATGTGCTTTTTCAAATTATTAGTAAAAAGTTTCAGCTCTACAGACAATTTCAGACTGTCCGTGTAGCTCTGAATCCCAGAAATGGATTAAGGGGAAAAAGATGGATGAATGTCATTTTAGATCAGGCTTCCTAAATTCTTAATAATAGCTTGGTCTGTTATAACGACAAGCTCTCATGATAACTGATTAATCTACTAATAATTCCTTTGATTGATTGAAATGTGATTTAATCTCAATTTCAATTATAAAAGGCTGAATTGAAGCAGCTGGAGGGCATTTATTGATATTGTTTCCAGACCTAACTGTTGTATCATTAAGACATTTGTTTCTTGTTTTATATTTGTTCTCATTATTGCCCTGTTTGAGCCTTAAACTCACATACAGTAGTGTTGTGTGTTGGACTCTGTATATACAGTAGTTACCAATTCATCAATTATGAGTTATTCAAGTTACCACATTCATGAAACCGTTTTGTTCTTGGAGTCCTTTCATTCCTTTGACCAAAATGCAATCAATCTTACTGTTGAATGAGAGTTATTTGTTTACATAAAAATGGACAGTGATTGTTTCTGGTCATGAAACGTATCACACTGTGAAATAACTTGACAAATTCTTTGCTCCTTATTGTGTGAGCATCCCGGTTTTCTCACCAAGAGCTGAAGACGCATTGTTATTTCTCTATACCGACACATGTCCACACACTGTTTTATTACAAGTGACAGTATTTGCATGCTGCTCAAGCTGAGAAAAATCGCCTCTCATTCATTTCTTGTTCTGCATTCCAAACACGCATGCTATAGGCATCTCCATACGGTGATCCCAGGCCGCACATGCATATACAGCTACCTCTAACAAAGCAAATTGAGGTTCATCTAACTCCATGGCCCCAATCTCGGCCGGGGGAGGCAGGCTCGTCCCTCACACAGATAAGGGTGAATTAGGGTCTCGCTCTGGGTTTTACATTTCAATTTACCCTTCGGCTTCGGTGCCATTAGGGGCCTAATCTAAAGCGTGGACGGCGGGGTTCTCTCTCCTCACCAATAGCAATATTGTTTTATTAACTTTCCATTGTGCCTGGAATGGAAACTCCAGCAGATTCATTACAGCACATTAAGTCCATATTAGGCTTATTTGTGATAGGAAGGACCTTATATTGGCAAACCAGCGGCAGTAGAGAGTGTGTTTGTAAGGCACCGCTGCAGTGTTGCCAGCTGGTTGATTTGAGAGAGTATACAGAGTGTAAATGTAATTGCAAGTTGATAATGTGCCTGGGCATGCAGAATGACCGCATTGAGAGGAATCGTGCAGGTGCAAAATCAAAAGGGGATACCACTCTCTGGAAATGGCTTTTTAAAGATGAGGCAGAGGCAGAGGTTGAGATAAACTTTAAAACGGTAAACAGAACCATTTATGCGGTATTACTCATTATGCAGCTGTTTAGTTACTTAAAGGTGCAGTGCGTAACTTCTCTGATCGCTCCCAGCCTGTTGCCACGGAGATGTTATTGCTATGTTTGTTACTTTCCTTAATATGGTGTTAAACCAGCAGTATTTTACATTGTGTTGGCTCATTCTTTAGAACTGTAAGTTAACGCTTGTTTCCAATGGCAGTGAATGTGTTTTGATGTCAAGATGATTCCAGGCAAAATAACAACAATAAGAATAATAACAACCAGAAAAGTGCGCCTTTAAGATTTTCCTTATTCTAACCATGTAATAGTATTAATCCAAATGAATCACAGTAGTTTAAGCTGTAGATGATACAATAATTGAAAATCATTTCATAGTTAATAAAACACTCATTTGACTCATCTTAACTCTAAATATTGGAAAATTTGACTTTTTTTTATGATCTTCGAATAATCTGAAGCATATTTTGTGCATATGAAATTCCGTTGTTCCCCACTGTGGGACGAATACAGGTTCTCTATATTTGAACCACTTGGTCATTTAGAAATGACCCAGAAATGGATTAAGGGGAAGAGAATGGATGGATGGTCATTTAGACACAGTTTTGAGAATTAAACCAGTTCAAAATAGAATAGAATACTACTCTGAACCCAAACTGCACTCCATCGCCTGATCTGATTGGCCGAACCTCAGCAAATGTGGTTTCATAGTCAGCATCAGGCAAGTTTGTTTTGTATAACACAATTCATACACAAGTCAACTCAAAGTGCTGAGCAGAACAAGATAGAAACAGTCACACAAGGCATTCATTTCATAAATAATCATAGCACATTAAAAAGAGCAAAGCTAAAAAACCCTCAGTTGCATGCGCCGCTAAACAGGACTGTTTTTAATCTGGATTTGAACATTATCAGAGAAGAAGCCTGTCTCACATATTCATTTTCTAGCTTCATAGAACTAGAATAACTCTATTAGTTAATCAAGCTATTAATTAAGCTTTGATTCTTCTAAAACTCTACTGTGTTCAATAAAGACATATGCAACTGTCGAGAAATTCAGACAAGGCAGCGGCGATTGCATCAGTACTGTACATGGTCTATTTTAAAGTCCCTTCAAGAATGGAGGCATGGATTTTTTTTGATTTGTACCGATGTGCATAAGAACAGAAGATGTCATCACTTGAGATAAATGACTCATGCTTAAGATATAGATTCTGTAGTAAGAATAAGGTCAAAACAAATGCGTATTTCTACTAAAAATAATAATATTCAGTTGTAATACGAAATAACAAGGGTCCACAGTTCAAAATATGCTGGTCAGATTACACACAACCTGTATTCACATTTGCACTTATATATATGTGTCTCCTGATGCTTTTCCATTGTGGTTCTCCTCACACAGGTTGGGTCAGCTTACCCTGCACTGGGCTCTTTGGTGTGGCCTTTGAGCATTGGGGTGGTGCGTGGTGGAGCGAGGGGTGGGGGGTTGGCAACAACAAATCTAGTGCATGTGTATATTGAGTGTGAGAGTATGAGCGAGTGAACATGTGGTTGTAATCTGCTTGTTTTACTGTCTGGCTCTGCTGGCGAAAGTGTTGGGCAGGGGCGCACGGCGGCCTGGATCGTGTCAGAAGCGGCCGGAGTCAGGTTACTGCCGACAGACTAGAGAGCAGAGAGAGCAGAGCGAGAGAGAGGAGCCAGGGACGGTGAGTGGAGGCTTCAAAATGAAATCAAATACATTATAAAAAATGGGTAACAATAAAAATAATAGATTAATAGTATGTATGTTATGATAGATTAAATGATAATCTATATGTATATTTATGGCAATTTAACATTTCTACGATTTAGCTTTTAAAATACAATATTCTGAACTTTCAAATTATAATTCATATTCTATTTGTTGGGCTGGATAAATGGGTTAGTTAGTGCTTAAAAATCTCAAGTGATTGCCTCAAATGGATTGTGTAATATCTGTGTATCTTGTGTAATACCTAATAATTCATGTACAGTCTACTCAAAAATGTCCTAGAACAACAGCACGCATGGTATTGTCGTTGTTATGATGATGTTATGTTCATGACACCCAAAAAGACAAAAGTATTGACTCACTATACCTTGTGTCCAGAGTCAGGGCAGTCTCTCTGGACTTTTCCCTCCAGCTCAGAGGAGTTGTGGAGCAGTGCTTATCCTGGAGTGCATGTGTGTGTGAACCTGGGCCAGAGGGCTCCACAGACGACCACTTGAACTAGCCCCAGCTGAGAAAACAAATGGCCTTGACGTGTCTCCCTTTTCCTTTTCTCCCTCATCCAATTTTCATCTTTTTCCTCCTCCCTTCCTCCACAATGGGCATTTAATCAAGTAGGGGGCTAATCAAAGCCAGAGAGAGGCTCCTGAACCCTCTGCTATCTCCTTCCTAATCCTGCAGCTCTGTTTCTCATTTGCCAGTGACCTCCACAGCAGTGGTAGACTGTCCACTGAACCTGCCATCGGGACACAGTGGGAGTGAACCAGAGGGTTTAGCGGTCAGTCATAGGTCATATGTTCATGTGTGTGTGTGAGGATAAATCCATATTCTAAGGCACAGTAAAATGAAATGTCAACAAACCTCTTCAACTGCAGTGTATAAAACACACAGTGGACGAGACGGATTGGGTTCAGGAATGAGGGAGTCGTGGGGAGCAGAGAGGAGGAGAGGGAAGAGAAGAGAGGGAAGAGGATGTAGGAGGCACAGGGGGTCATGGTGGTTCAGGTGATAAGTCGCCTGCTGGGGAATTAATAGGGAGCAGATGGTGCTACCTTTACTTAATGTAAGGGTGAGATGCAAGGAGAAAGATTTATCAGTCTGAGTGTGTGCGCTCCCCAAACTGGACCAGGATTTAGAGCGTTCTTGGTCGGACGCGAGCTGGGAGGTGGTGGTGTAACGGCAGAGGTCCTGTGGCCTGTCAAATCCTGGGATTTACCTTAAAAATAATGTTTACCTTTAACAAAGTGATCTATGAGAAGACTGCGAGAGGTGAAAGCTGTTAGACTTGTCACTTTAATTGTTTTACCTACAGTGCACAAGCAGTTGGGTGTTTGGGCTTTACTCTGACATGCCTACAGGATTGAAATGGTGAAAGCTGTGAACTACAAACAACGTAATAAACTTTGGCCAGAATAATCTAGGACATAGAAACCTGTAATTTATGAAGATTATCACCGTATTAGTGTTGCAGAGTAAACAGCAGCTCCATCCACACAGCTTTTACACAAAAGCGTTATTTCTGACCTGTAAAACTGACTGTGATGTCTTCTCAACTTGACCCAGTGCCAGTGATTTCTATGGCCACAGCTAAAGAAGTGCAGAGCCGAGTGGGCCCATCACAGTTATCACTTTGGTGATAATAGCCGTCACATAAAAGATGACCCGCTGAACTCCACAAATGCCAGAGTGGCCCAATTAGCCACTATGCATTTCATACAATTTGCAAAGGGCAAATGTTCCCAAGCTGTAATTATGTACTCACATTGCCCACCTTGGGTGACCTGCCAACCAGTCCTGACGCTCGCCCGATGTAGAGGTCGCCATGACTGCACTGGCAAAAAAACAGAGAAAAATGAGCTGCGGGGTCCATCATTGTGTCTGTAATTGGTCAAGTTGTGCTTGTTACCTAGTAGCAGATACATAATGGATAGTGCTGATTGCACTGTGCGATGCATGAGGAAATGTCACTGTGGGGGAAGGAAGTGCTCTGAGTGGGATGTGCTTCTGTCCACAGCTCAAAAAGCCACATCCTCTGCATCTCAAACTGATCAATATGCAGAAGACATTTATACCTATATCTTGAGATTTTCTTTCAGAAGTTACAGAGTTCTGTTGATTCAGTCAGTCACATCTTGCCAAAAAGAAAAAAGGTTAATTTGAAGTTCCACAACAAAAAAAACATTGATATATAAATATTGTTTGTTTCCTTGCTTGTCCGTGTAATTGCTTCAGATCATTGAGCCTTGATCTCTCACTTGTATTAGTCAGTGACAGCGTTGTCTTATTCTGTTCCAGGTTGTGGTGGAGCGAGGTCCAGTGCAGAAGATGCTGCTGTGAGGCCGGCCTCCCTAATGTCTCCATTGCCTGCACCTGACCCTAGCAGCCAGCAGTGGCCAAATTTAGTTTGGAAATGTGCCACCATGGGAGAGTCGACAGGCCCATTAATCAGCAGGAGTCTCCCCTCGGTTCATCCAGGAGGTCAGAGCCAGGTCACACTCGCACACACACACTTCTTGGACAAAAACAAATGATGGTGAAAACTTTCAAAATCCTGACAGCAGTGTGTGTATCCTGCACCCCTAAATCCTCCCTCACCTCTTCACACACACCTGGCCTTGCTAACCCTTCCATCACTCCCGGCCCATCATGCTCTACTCCCTCTCTTCTCTTCTGCTGGCCCACAGCCCCAGTCATGGAGGTTACGCACACAGCTCTACCTTTGGCTCACATCACATGCAAAAGGAAAAAGAACAGACAAAATGCTCTGCACTGACCCTCAGGAGCAGCAGTATATATCTCCAGGTTTAGACAATTGTAAGAGGGAGGCCATCTGCAAAACATGACAAATTGTTGGATGTTTGGAAGGGAAATTAAAATAGATGGGAACTTGGGAAAAAAAAGTAAATTGAAATATATGTGGCGCAAGACCAGACAGACATTTATTATGATATGTTAGATGAACTCAAAGTGCTCTCACCTACGGGAATATACAGAAGTCTAAAAATGTCTGATTTTCTCTTTACTGTGATGCATCGGAAGACGGGCTAATTGACTTGTAATCAATGTCTAGTATCTTACAATTAAAGTTTGGAGGCAATGAGGATGTGACTGGACACATACTGGCCATCAGATCTCTTAGTTCTGGGTCGGGCAGTATTTGGTCCCGCGTGAGGTGTGATAACTGGAGAGCATTTATGTGCACTGTCGCTGCAGCTCGTTTCTAATGTGCGGCTCTGTGGGGAGATGAACGGTGGGATTGGAGGAGATTAATGAAGGTTACTGCAGTCCCCAGATGTTTGGTTGGTAATTAGAGGCCTTTGTTTATCAGGAAAACAAGTCACATCAAGAGCAAAGCATTCATTATAATTTTTCATAATCTTAATAATTCAAGTGGAGCGGCTTCATTTTGTTCCCAATTTATCATGCTAATGATGAGAATAAATCTGCATATTTCTAGCAAGGCCTGTTGGATCCACTGAACAATAAGACAGAAGTTTTTCGCCGGCCAAGAATTGTAATCTATCAAATGCACTTAGGCAGAGCTTAGGTCAAATGTGTGAACAAGGTCGACAACATCACTGTAAAAGGGTAGAATTGGGGTGGTAACCATGGGGAGGGGTCCGACTTGGATTATTGACTATGTGTAAACGTTAAATTGTTTACTGTAATTATTATTCAACATGGGGTGAACCAGAATCATACTTGATTACTTATAAGCAAACAAAAAAAAAAGTTTCTTAATTAGATCTACTTTCAAATGTTTGTGTATTTCAGTGTGAGGAGTTGCTCTTCGGAACAAATAACTGGAAAAAACAAAAAAAACCTAAGAAGCACATAGAGGAATGTGAGTGTTGCCCTCAGCCCAGAGCAAGTGATCGGGGAGAGGTGCAGTGTCAGAGAGTGTTTGAGCCTGTGTGTGTGTGTGTGTGTGTGTGTGTGTGTGTGTGTGTGTGTGTGTGTGTGTGTGTGTGTGTGTGTGTGTGTGTGTGTGTGTGTGTGTGTGTGTGTGTTTTGTATTAGTGAGCTTGCTTCTTCCTACCCCTTTTCTGCGTATTGAAGTTTATAATTTGTGAAATCCTGGATAAAGTGTGTGTCTCTTGGTGAACAGAAGTTTGAAATATGGATTACTATTACTCTGTATAAAACGAAAGCGTGCAAGAGTGTCAAGTGGAATATTGCAGCAGTAAATTCAGGCCACAATTGGTTGGACAAAATGTATTTTATGTGTTGTACGTCTGGAAAGCACTTTGTGACCGTCACGTTTGTTTTAAAATAGAATTTAGTTCAAAAGTCCTTACTTCCATAATTCACCTTACAATGTGAAAATCATTTTTAATGTATTTGTTACTTACAAAGTGAGACATATCAAGGCTGTATTTGTTATAATGTTGATCGTTGTCTCACAGCGTGTAATAAAAACAAAGTTTGAATATTTTAAAGTGGGCCATAACCCTAAATTATTACACACAAGGCTTCACATATGTCACTTTGATTTGAATGAGTCTGTATTATACATTGGTTTCACATTTTAAGTTGAATTATATGGACAATATTAGAATGTCCAGAGATATATGTGCCTAACTATTGCTGATATAAAAACGAACCTGTCTTGAACGCAAAATCTGGTAAAATGGCTCAAATATCCCCATTCCGATTCTGCACAGGTGAAGTACAGTGTAATCAGTGTTTGGACTTGAGGTTTCAGCTGGACACTTGCGCTTTGTCTCGCCCCAATTGTCTTGTCACAAATCAATCGCAGATCACGGCGTGGGTTTTGCAGCAAGAGGTCAGTCCTCAGTGTGGTCTGAATATTTCATGGGTGACTCAGGTCCAGGGGCTTTTAAAGATGTGTGCTGGACCATGCTCCCCTCGCACTGCCCTGGCAAAGTGACAGGGCGCACGTTTTAGCCCACTCCACGACCAGGTTAAATCAATTAAAATCTATTATTCATACGCCAGCGCAGTGACCTCCCTGAAAGCTCCTATAATTTTCAGAAAAGAAAAGAGAAGGGAACTTTGGCTTCATAAGTTTTTGAATAGAACTCCAGAAGCATACAACCTTGTTTTTTTCTATTTTTTCTACGGCCTTGGACATAGAAAAGTGGGCGAAAATGGGAAGTTCTCCTTTGCATGACACGTTTTCCATAAGCTCCAACAGTTTCCACAAATATTGTACATAAGGTGGACATTCTTTATAATCGCTAAAACAATGATGCCTTTATTATTAATCATTTAATCAAAAAGTTTTTTTCAAAACCTGTAGAAACATTTCACAAAATGGCAAACACCTTTGAAAAGGGGTTGGATGAAGCAGACGCATATTTGTTTTTATTCTGCAATACAATATTATGGTTTTGTAATTGCTCTGCATCTTCAGTCTCAACACTTGCCAATCTGCTTGACGTTATTATTTGTCAAGTTTGTCAAAACATTCCCGGATCTAGTTACAAATTGTGCTTTGTTGTTATGTTGTTATGCTAAAGAAAGCAACAATGTTGCCTTTTTTCAGAAAACCGTTTAGGTTTATAGGCTTTGGAACTGGTACTTCTGTCTGGGTCCACATGTGTTGGCCCCAGGCCACATAGCCATAGGCACACGGTAACACAAAAATGGCCACACCATCTCAAACGCACAACTCTGGCTCCTCTTTTATGCACAGAGAAGCCTTTCAAACTTAAGTGTGCCTTTAAATAATTGTTCAACATGAATGTACTTTGCATCTCTAAAGGCCAATCACAGACTAAGGTTAAGGTCCTCTTTATTGTCCACGTAAGGACCCATCCTGCAAAGCCATCAGGGCAGCCTGTCAGGGGCAGTGGTCTCCATGTGCAGCTCTCAGGGACCCATCTCCAGATGCTGATGCTCGGCTTGGTCACAACTACGGGAGCAAGAGGTTTTTACTTATGGGCCGTGTTTTCCCGTAGACACAGGGAGAAACATGCAAACTCCACCGAGAAAGACCCTGGACAGTATTTTAGGTGGTAGCAATGATACAAATGCATCACAAAAAGTTTGCTTCATGTATTCTCAACAGAATCCATGTCCTTCTTCTCTCTTGTCAAACATCAACAAATAGTTTGGATTCTATTGGATTCTGTCCCCAGGGCTGGGCAATAAATTGAATTTAGGCAATTAATCAGCTTTTGAAAAAATCGAATTTGTGAAAAATGTTGAAATTGTGAAATCGAATGAAGTATATTTAGAGTTCCAGCAGCACATGAATGATACTTGCAATATCAGCACAGTCTGTACAAGACTTTTATACAGTAATATGTATTGGGAGATACAAATTAAAAATAGTTTTGAAACTTGAATATTTAGCGGAAAGATCACACATTTCTTTTTAAGGGCAAAGTCTGTCTTCAGTGACTTTAATAAAAATTGATTTAAAATTGAAATCATCCAAAGCAGGAAATAAAATTGAGATTTTACATTTTTGCCAAATCGCCCAGCCCTAGTTCCCAGCATGTGTCTGACACTGTCCCTGTCCCTATTTCTGATGCTGACTAAACGTGTGCACATTGGATATGCGTACAGGGACAAACGTCTGCATTGAGGCACAGGCCTAGTGGGCTTTGGGACCGGGTTTTGACAGGATGAGGGAATTAATGGTGCCGTTTGCCAACTCCCCGCTCCTCTCTGTGCAAAGCTTTCAAGTGGCACAGGGTCCAAAGTTGGCGAGAGGCTGTTTGGACCATAATAAGAAGAGAGGAGTCAGAGGCGAGGTCATCAAGCTGCGTTCATATATAATCATTCCAAAGACATGTCCATCGTTCTATTTTCCCCTGTGAGTGTATGCGTCTCACACGCAGATGAAAGGGCCGCGTCAGGCTGCCTGCTCGCAGAATGAAAATGATGGAGAGGCTGATAAGAAAGAACGCAGGCAAAAGATGAAAAGTGGTTTTTGAAGTGGTGCGCCACATTAGTCGGCCTCCCCCACTGACCTTACAATTTAGACAAACAATACGGTGAAGGCAGCCCCAACTCTGAGGCGCCCAGAGAGGAGGGAAGAATTAGAAGGCTGGACAAAGGATGGTGTACTCTGATAAGAAAGTAAGGCTTGTACGTGTTATTTGTTAAGCCCCGAGCACTTTTCATTGTCTCAAAATGTTTATGTTTTAAGCACTTGTTTAAACAGATTCCTGCTTTCATAGGAGATGTCAAAACCACATCAGTCATGTTCTTGAAACATGGAATCTGGCTTTTGGATTCATGGCTACTGGAGGTCGGTGCTAGCAGTGATTCTTTGGAGCCATGTGATAGCTTGAAGTTCACTCCTGTGTAGTTTTCAGTAGCGATTCAACATTGTTTTCTCCAAGGTTTCTCACTTTTTCCCA